CCAAAGAAGTTGACCAAAGTGCAGAGAATAGAATAAAAATTCAGAAATAAGATGAAGAAAACAAGACTATCAAATTTAAAACACAACAATAACAAAACAACAATTAAACCAATGATCAAGGGGTATTGAAAGCTAGAGAGAATATATATGTCTTTAGAGCAAACTTAAAAGCAGAAATAGATGAGGATAATCTAATATGAAGAGGTAGACTTTTCCAGAGTTTCGGACCTGCAGTTGCAAAAGCTTGATTACCTCATTTTAGGTGATCTAGATCAAGGCACGATGACTATACAGAGATCACTGGATCTCAATGTTCGAGAAGAGGTGTACGGATGGAGCAGGTCAGACTTAAAGGCTTTATTAACAAATAACATAATTTTAAAATCAATTCTATATTTGATAGGTGTGCAGTGCAGATAAAATAGGAGTTACTGGCAAATACTTACGGGTGCCAGTGAGTAGTCTACCAGCTGCGTTTTACACTAGCTGTAGATGAGAGAGGGAAGATTGAGAAACACCGTAATAAAGTGAATTACAATAGTCTAAAAAAGTTGTTACAAAAGCATGGATCACCGTTTGGAAGTTAGTATGTGATAAGAAAGATTTCACTTTAGAAATTTGATGGAGATGAAAAAATAAAGCAATAAGCACCAAGAAGCCGTGGTTTACAGTGAATTTATAACAGCTGAGGGGCGTTGTTAGGCACGACGCGAAGCGGAGTAACTAAAACCCCCTTAGCTGTTATAAATTCACTGTAAACAACAGCTTCACGGGGTTATTGCTTTTATAAAATGGCTATTCCATATACGTAGTAAGGTTTCACAAAATAAAACAGAGCAAATAAAGTGTAATGATATTAATAAAAACAGTGTTCTTTCACCAAATAATGTAGTTCCTCAGAATCAGTTGTGGTTGCAACAAAGTGGTTGCCAAGAAACACAAAAACGCAAACAAAGGTGTATGTTTGTAGAGTAATTTACAACAGCTTCGAACTTGTCTCAACCAATCAGAATCAAGGACCGGAACTATCCGTTTTATAA